TTTCTTCCTAAAGTCCCCATCATCTCCTAACACGCTGTATGACTTCCTTGTTTTGCATACTTACTTCCCACACCTGCTATCTGATTATCCCGCTCTAGGATATGAGCCCATGAGGCCAGGAGCTTTTGTTTTGCCCACTGATGGGCCTCAGGCACCTAAACTAGTGCCTGACACACAGAGGTAAGGCTATAGAGTTGGCTGGATGAATGATGGTTCCAGGGGTTGGTGGGAAATCCACTTCCTGAGAGGGAGGGGCACCACAGCCTGGCAAAGGCAAGGAGGAAATGGGAGATGAGTTTAATGGGGAGAATATGTGGAGATAGGATGAATATGGCGTTTGGTGAAGGGAATGAGTGTTGCTTCCCGGAGGGTTAAAGGCACCAAGGAAGATGGGTTACAGGTGAAAAGCCCTCAGGGATTCCAGTGAGGCTTACAGTGTAGATACCTTCCAAGTAGACCCTATCTCTGGGGATATATGTCTTGTAATGACAGTATGGTTAAAAAAAAAATCTGTGAAGGACCTAGAGAGGCAGGGTTTTCTGGAGGATTCCATGGGATTGGGAAGAAAATCCTACAGCTGCCCACAAGTCGTTAATGTCCTACAGGCAGAGCCCTATGGGTGGAGGCAGCTGCTTCTGAGACTGAGCGCCGGGGCTCGCTTATTCTGGCGTCATCATACTGGCTGCTGCCTGAGTGTGGTCCAGAACTGTGAGGCCTCAGAATCATGAACAGTGGTCAGCGAGCTTGTCTTTGCTTTGGTCTGGTTGTCCCTGCCGGCCATCTCCATGCGTCTATCCTCTCTGGGAAACAAGGGCTCTTAGACTAATGAAATGATCTTGGTTGGAGGCTAGACCCACCAAGTCATGCCAACAGGGGTTTTGGAAAGAATGTCACTTGCTTGGATGCCACAATCTCTCCCATTTCACAGGGCTTTATAGTTTACATATGGTTTTTAAATAGATCCTCTTATTTGAGCTTCAAAATATACTGCTGCAAATATCACATTCCTCTGACAGATAAAAACCCTCCGTCTCCAGCCTTTTTGGTAACACTTTGACAGGAAGCAGCAGCAAGACTCAGCAACTTGCCAGTTTTCTGACTTTAGGTCCAGTTCTCTCCTAACTGCCTTCCTGCTTCGGGTGATGTGATGTTGGTTCTTTTTGTGCAGAAGCCATAAGTTGTGTGGGAGAGGGAAAAAAAGCAGTCCAGAAATAGGGGCCGGGTCTCTGGACACCTGCGCTGGCTCTCAGTCACGGGCACTTCATGTAACCCAGACAACCCTGAGTGTGACTCAGAACCACCAGCCTCTCATTTTGGGGCAGCCAGGGGCCTCGCAGGGTGGGACGAGGGGTACTAACTAACCACGAGAGAGCCTGCATATAGAGAAAGTGAGGAGATTTAGGACACGTGCAGGTACAGAGAGAGGGAGAGAGGAGGAGGGAGGTGCAGCAGAACCCTGCAGATGTGCCATTCATCATTCTTAGAAAATGAAGAAAAGGAGCACCCTATGGTTATTTATAACACCAATTACAGAATGTAAGGTCTGAATAAATACTGGGTGGTGGTAGCACACGCGGGGGGACATGGGTTAGAGAGACAGGGGTACTCTGGCCCCCAGCAGACGCACAGAAAGGTACTCAGTCTCTCCATCAGCGCCTTCAGCAGCAGCAACTGGGGGGGGGGAGCAGTCCCGCCTCTCACATTCACAGGGCAGGTAAGAATTAAAGGGGATAAATGCAAAAGTGACTTGTAACTAGGAAAGCCTTATACACAATGTTGGGGTGCTGGATAAATTTTGGCTCCCTCCTTACCCTCTCTACCCTCCACAGAGCCAATTTTTCTGCAGAAATTTTATATCTTAAAAAACGTGTGTGTGTGTGTGTGTGTGTTTTCTTTTATAAATGTGAATAGTTTGGGAGAAAATGGCAGGTAGAGTGACAGGTCTTGCCAACAGGGGGAAGACCCAGAACCTAGGCAGTGGGGCCTCTCTTGCCGCCAGGGGGGCAGCTTGCTGTCACCCTCCAGGATTTCCCTGCCACAGGGCCCTGGGTCACTCTGCATGGCTTTGCTTGTGGATCTGCTGTAGCCTGAAGGAAACCCTCTGAAGGCGGGGCCCACTGCTGCCATTGCCTTCCTGTTCCTCTCCCCACAGTTGCCCTCTGTTCAGAGCATGCATGCTACAGACTCTGAGTGCAGAGGCACTGCCCTCAAACACATGGGTTTGGATGGCACTTGGGCTGGCCCAGCCTACAGAGCGGGGAATCTACTCAGGAAGGGAGAGGAGGCTCAAAGCATGGGTAGGATTTACTAGAAGTGGAAGGAAACTTCACATACATACACACACACACACACACACACACACTCTCATACTGTGAGACAAAGACAACCCATGGTTCTCACAGACAGAGGGCAATTGAATTTGGAGCTATAGTGTGAGAAGGGAGGAATACCCAGCAACTATAACCCCTCTTCCTAAATCAATCTGCTGGGAGACAGGGTTTCTAATGGGGGGAGCAGACACCATGGCAATTTGATTGACTGGGAGCAAAAGATGTTATGGAGGAGAGGCAAGGAGGCATGGGGGCCATGGGGTGGCTGGTCAGGTTGTTTCAAACATCTTAAAACTCTAAAGTGTCTGCTCCGTGCTGTTATTCAAGGTTCAGTGCATCAACAGTCTAGTAAACATTATCAAGTCTCTTATTTAAGGAACAATAACGACAAAAAACTTAAACAACACATGTTAAAGACTAACCGCAAGAGGCTTGCCTATAGATAAAGAGAGGAGATTTAAACATGCCAGGTAACAAAAAGACATGTGCAGGGACTGGTAGGAACTGTATTGGAGGAGGCAGCTCTCGGAAGGAGAAGGTGGCAGGAGGCCCCCAGGGTCAGGGCTCTGTCTGAGGCCAGGGTGCTAGGCTGGGGTTGGAGGACAGGGTGGGTGGTGGGTGGTGGAGAACCAGGCAGGTACAGGGGAGGGAGCTCACTTGGAGCTGCTTCCACAGCAAGTGGGAGGGAAGGTCCACCCAGAAGAGCTCTCACTACTTCTGGAGAAGGGGGTACAAACAAAAGTCCTGTCTCCATGAATATATAAAACCAAAATGTAATCTGGCTACCACAGTGCGTTTTCTCAGGACGTCTTGAGGTCATGTGCTCCAAGAGGGTCACATGCATTTGGCTCAGAATAAATCTCTTTAAATTATTAAACAAACAAACAAAAAACCATAATTGATTCTCTTCTTCTCTCTCCAATGAGCCTGCAGGGGCCTAGGCTGCCTGCATAGGCTACTGATAGTAAATTGAAACAGAGCCCATTCAATGTAAGACCTTGGGCATGGGTAGGTCACGGCTGACAATGAAGGCAAAATCCTAGCTTTAACTCAGATGTGCCCCTTTGAGGGAGTTCCCTTCCAAGATGCTGTGGGGACCAAAAGTTGGGAGGGAGAGAGGCAGCAGGCTGAAGGAGAAGGTGGAGGATCAGAAGAGGTTTGGGTCCCTGCCCCGGCAGCTGCCCAGTGGGGCAAATATCCCCTCATTTTCTCCCTCCACAATATTCAGAGCTGCATCCGCCTATACAGTGTGAGTCATGCCACGCTGATTATAAAGGGAGAGAGAAAAAGATGCAGCAATCAAAACTTAAAAGGAAAAGGAAAGTCCTAATGCGTTCCAAAGTTAAAAAAAAACAAACTTGAAAATAAAGCGACAAGAAAAAAAAAGTTCTTTAAACCAATTTAAACAAACAAAAAGATGAAATAAAAATAAGGAAGTGGGGAGGAGAAAATAAAATGAAGGGAAAAAAATCCGGGAAAAGACAAATGAATGTTAGAGCAGGCACGGACAGTTAGGTACAGACGCCATGTACTTACGTTTACCTCGGTGATTGCTATATCAACAATGCTACCCACAACAATCAAGGCGTCAAATGTATTCCATGCATCACAGAAATAGTGCTGCATGGGGCAGAGAAGCCGAGGAAAAGAGAGAGAGAAGAGGAAAAAAAAAAAAAACCAACAACAAAGGAGAAAAACAAAACAAAAGGGAAGAGGAAAAATGAAAAAAAAAAAGGCATGAAGAAAGGGAGAGAAGAGAAAAAAAATGAGAAAAGAAAGAGGTTACGTGGGCATTTTAAATACTCTCTTACCACTCTACAGTTCTGGCGGCTCAAACCTGGGTAACCTGGTTTTCGAAGGGTGTAGAGGCCTGATAAAAGCTGGGTTAGTTCAGATGTGGCGCGGGGCTGGGGCCCTGGGAGGCTGGGCAGTGCTGTCCCTGCACCACCGCTGTCCCCGCTCAGCCCTGCGCCTGGGCCCAGCACAGCTGTGCAGAGCTGGGACAAGTGGAAAAAAAGGAGGAGAGGCTCCCACTTTTTTTCCCCATAGAACGACGGCAGGTTCAATAAAAGGCATGACTGGAGGCGGGTAAAACAGGAAATTAAAAACAAAATAAAAGGAGGTAAAGAGAGAGTGAGAGAGAGAGAAAGAGGAGGCAGAGGAGGAAGAAGGAGGTTTCCTGGGGAGGGCAGAGTAATACTCACATTAGTCTCACTGAGAATGACGTCAATTATGCTGCCAATTACGATGAGGAAGTCAAAAACATTCCAGGGATCACTAAAGTAACCCTACATAAGGGAGGGGCAGGCAGGATGGGGATTAAAAAGGAATATTAGACAGACAAGAACAGAGCAACATCACCATCAGAATCATCGTCCAGGCATCTCAGTGTTGCTGTTGGAGTTCCAGATGCCCCCACTGTGGCGGGAGCCCAAGGGCCCCGGCAAGAAGGGAGATGGAGGGGCATCTCATCCGGGCCCCCTGCCCGCCTTCCCTCAGTCACATGGCCCGTCCTGCTGATCCACCTGCCCAGCTCCCTCCTCCACAGGCAGGAGTGGGGGTGGGGGGTGGGGAAGGCAGTGCAAGCTGCTGGCTCTCCAGCACTCCCACACCTCCAGTCCTTCCCCACCACAGGGGCCTCCCTGGAGGGAGGGGACCCACTGTGTGACACCCTAAAGGTGAGCTGGCTGTGGTTCTATGGGTGAGACCAGAAACAGAGGGCCCTGAGAGCCGGGGCAATGAGTGTGGGCTAGAATGGGGCCGGGCTATCTGGGCTCAGAGGTGACATAACTTGTGTCAAGCTCAGAAATAAAAACAGGACCAAATCATTAAAACAAGATCCATAATCAGCTGGACTCTATGCAGATCAGATCGGGGTGGTCCTAGATCCTGCCCTGGACACACTCAAACATTCCTAGGGGGCAGTTCTACCTGGCAAATCCTTGGCTACCTGAGAGGAGGCAGAGTCCAGGCCTGTCCTGTGGTCTGGGGACATCTCTTGTGGCTCTAGACAGTGCTCCCTGGGGTGGGGGGCTCCTGAGCACCCTCCCAGGCTCCTCTCCTAGCATGATCATGCTAAGGTAGGGTCCCCTGAGATGCTAGTGTCACCCGAAGTGCGGGAAGTCCTTGAGAGCCTCCCCAGGGTTGACAGGGTAGTCTGGTGGGGCACAAGGACACTGGCTTCTTAGAAAGGGAAGAAGGCAGTGGTGCCATGGAGGAGCAATTCCAGCACAGAAGGGGAGACCAGTGTCCTGACTTTACTGCTTCATTCTGTAGATGTGGATTTTATTTGTTTTATACTACATCTTGAAAATCTTAGTTGAGATACTGGGACAACTGGGTCAAGCAGAGAACAGGCTGTCCCAGATGTACTGTAGGGTGGCAGGAATCCTGGATGGGTGGACTCTTTACAAAGGGCTTGTTGGGTCTGGGTCATTTCCCCAGAGGTGTGGGAGCCAAGAGAGCAACGTTCTATGACGACGTAGGTGAACACCCACAGCTCAGGAACCCTAGGAATAGGACAGTCACATTTCCCATGGGTGTGGGGAGAGGACCTAGTACCAAAGAGATTTGTCCTCTTAAAGGACATTTGCCCCTTTAGTCTTTCAAGGAATGTTCTGCAAGGGGCCGAGATGGGGCTGGCCACTGTTGTCCATCAGGCCCAGCCTTTTCCTGTTCTCTGGGCTTCCAGGGGATGGAATCTAGTGGACGGTGAGTGGCCATGAAAGCATGAAGTGTCCTCTGAGAGGCTCCCTGGTCTCTCCCCAGCTCTCTTGAAGGCTGACAACTTGCCCTTTTCACTTTTTACTCACAAGAGACAAAAATCTGTGTTCTTCCATTTCCTCCTGGCTCTATCCAGCTCCCTGAACTTCCCACTCCCCAGTCATGCCGCCTTTCCAGAGGGACGGCAAGACACGCTGTCCTAGGGCTGTTATTCTTAGTGTGGGAGGTCAGGTCACAGGGAAAGGGGCCTCTCAGTTCCCAGGCATTTCTGCCAAAAGAAAACAGAAACACCACCAAGGAGGCTTTGGATAGCCAGACTAGGAGAGCAGAGGTTGGCCAGGGCATGGGTTAGGTGAGGGTCAGCTTGAATCCTTGGCTTTCTTGTTGGCTTCCCAGAGTATTTTTTGGACTATACCAGAGCCTTGAAGGCTGAGAGAGTCACATGCTGTGAGCAGGGTACAACCAAATCCCTCCCAGGTTCTCAGATGTCATTCACAGGGCAAAAGGGGATCCCTGATTGGGGGGGAAGGGGGGAAAGGAGTGAAGACCTCAAATGAACTATCAAATGCATGTGTTGTAGAATTAGATTTTGGAAAACCCTGGGGACTATCTTGATATGAATACCATCTTGTGGATAGAGCTATTTCAGAAGGGAAGGGAGGGAAGTCAAGGAAGAGAAGGGAGAGAAACAGAACAAGAGCAGAATCCGGGAGGGCTCAGCAGCAGCCTAGAAAATGTGTAAGGAAACATTATTTGGGTATGGGGCCAGGAAGGGAGGTAAGAGGGCGGGAGCTTCAGTGCTCAAGAAAAGAGGATGAGCTGGAAATCTTTTCACCCGCCAGAGAGACCTGAAACAAAATGCGTGAGTTGGCCTTGGTCTGCAACACCTCTGAGAGACGAGAGAGGGAGAGGAAGAGACGCACAGAGATCAAACCAGACCAGTGCACACGGGTTAATCAGCTGGCACGCACTGCGGGAAAGGGCATGCCTTCAAGGGACCCTGGCACCCTCCTGGCTTTGCATCCCTGGTCACCCTTTCTCCCGGACATTTTTGTAGATGTGCAGCCAGAAGGAAAACACAAGACAGTTGGTTCCTCCTTGGCCATGGCCCTCCCCAGCCCATGGTACCACGCGGGCTCCCGCAGGTTGGGCTGACTCTGCTGGGATCAATGCATCATGTTTTCCCTGACTTCTCTGTCCTGGGGCAGGCTATACTGTGGACCTCCACTGGCTGCAGAAAACAACCAGTTCTCCTGTCACCAGGACTTTTGTGGACCCAGCCCTGAGATTTCTGCAGAGCTGGCAGGGGTGAGGGGAGCATGTCTAGGGGGCAACAGGGTCCCTTTCAGAGGCAGCTTTAACCCTGGCCCGGACACCCGCCTTCTCATCCCTCTGTGTTAGGAGCCCGCCAGACCTCCCAGCTGGGCCACGAAGATGGGTTCAGGGCCCCTTTCAAGTCTCTGTCCCCTTTGCCAGCCCCTCCTCCCACTGGTCCACATCCTTCCCAGATCCTTGGCCCATGTCCTGCACTTCAGTCAGCAAATCCCTAGGTGAGTGGGGCCTGGGAGGACGCCCTTTCCCCCATCTCCTCTGGAGTGTGAGAGCTTGGGGTTCTTTCTCTCTGCCTCTCACATACCCATCTCTGCCCATCCCCTCACTTGCTGGAAAGGTAATAGGGTTTGGGGGGGTGTAATGGAGGAAGGAGGGTAGGAAAGTCATAGACTTCTTTTCTTATGAAGTCAGTTTGCTAGGAGCCAGGTTATACTTATCACCCTTCGTTTTCCTGGTGACTGGGTCTCACGTGGTTGGGAAGTTGGGCTTGGGGAAAGGGTTTTCCTAGCTCTTCTTGAAATGGCACCAAACCTCTTAATGTCCAACTTCTCGCAGGGTGGGTCACCAGAAGGGGCAGTGTTTTTGCAGTTGTAAGCCTTTCCCTTGCCTCTGCAAATTCTACAGAGGGAGCTCATTTTCCCTTTCAAATGCTCAGCCTCTGGGGGTGTGTTCAGAGGTAGGACTCTTCTTTGGCCACCCTAGGGATGGACTTTTGGGCACCACCCAGGCAACAGGCAGCCCCCACCCACCAATCCGGAGCTGCTTGTACCCTAGGCCAGGTGGGTTCTCCTGGTCACTGCCCAACCTCCATCCCTTGCAGGTGTGGGCTGAGCAAACGGAGACCAAATTGATATTAGCTTCAGAAAATCACTATGGGAAGGAAAAATGGCTGCAAAAGCATCAAATGATGCATTTCACATGCACAGGGATGTTGGATCCTCTCTTTTGGATTATCTGTGCCCTGATTTGGCTCCGTGATCGAACATATACCAAGTTGAAAGAGGCAGTGTCATGGTTAAGAGCTTGATCTCTAGAGGTAGAATGGTAACTGTGAGCATATAATTTAACCTCTCCTTGCCTCAGTTTCCCCACCTAGAAAATGGGACAAACCATAGTGTTGAGGAGAGGATGACATGAGACCACTC